AATGTAGAAACGATGCATATGACCCCAAGTTCAATGGCCATAACAATGTGTACGTGGCTTATATACTACAAGATTTTAGAGCGATGAAACATCAATTCGTCTGTGCGTGTTCGAGCAGTTTAATTTCGTTAGTTAAACCACGTCGTAGGTTTACTTAATGACCTAAAATGAAGGGGATTACGTACTTTACGTGCCATCTTAGTTAAAGCTTCTACATATGCTTCCGTATGTTATTTAGTCTTCTACGTTCAGGCCATGCTTGACGCGGAGGGTTGCTCATAATTAAGAGACAAAAAGAAGACGAGTAGGTATTTAGTTAGGTAACGTCTGAAAATTCTGGAAAATTCTGGTCATTTCCAGTCTTTAATATGCATCATGTATTATATCTCTACACAGACACACCCACACACACCCTGAAGGAACATCTGATCTCAAAAACACACACACATGTATATATGAGAGGGAAAAGTGAAAAAGTTGAAATTTTCTTTTTCTAATTCTGTAAATGAAAAAGATTATTTACAAATAATCTAAAGTTGTTCAAGGCATTTGTGTACTTTCTAAAAATAAAGAGAGCATATTAATACGAGTGGTAGGTCATAAGTAACTGGAAGTTTAAACCTCAGCTCTCTTTAATCATTTTTAAGATACAGGAAGAGAGGAAAAGAGAGCTAACCATAGTTTAAGGTATACAATAGATGAAAAAGATAGCAGACTCAACCGTCATCAATGTCGTTTCATCATCATCACCATCTCCATAAATATAAGACTCATTTCTCATATTTATCAATTTTCTCTAAATCACCACTATAGATACTCCTTAACCATAATCAAGTAGAAGAGAAAAAGGAGTATTAAACAAGATGATTATGGTGTTTTAGGAAAAATGTGTCACTTTTCTTATAATTAACTAATTTACCTAACTTCCTTAATCTAATCAAATTAGTTAAATGGGTCTTATATTAAGACCGGAGGTATATATATATATATACCTATAATCAATATAAAACCAAAAATTCCCCCCTTTTAATATTTTTTCAGTTACATGATTATATATACGCTTGCAATGATACAACACACATATTAATGTAGAAACGATGCATATGACCCCAAGTTCAATGGCCATAACAATGTGTACGTGGCTTATATACCTACAAGATTTTTAGAGCGATGAAACATCAATTCGTCTGTGCGTGTTCGAGCAGTTTAATTTCGTTAGTTAAACCACGTCGTAGGTTTACTTAATGACCTAAATGAAGGGGATTACGTACTTTACGTGCCATCTTAGTTAAAGCTTCTACATATGCTTCCTTATGTTATTTAGTCTTCTACGTTCAGGCCATGCTTGACGCGGAGGGTTGCTCATAATTAAGAGACAAAAAGAAGACGAGTAGGTATTTAGTTAGGTAACGTCTGAAAATTCTGGAAAATTCTGGTCATTTCCAGTCTTTAATATGCATCATGTATTATATCCTCTACACAGACACACCCCACACACACCCTGAAGGAACATCTGATCTCAAACACACACACATGTATATGAGAGGGAAAAGTGAAAAAGTTGAAATTTTCTTTTTCTAATTCTGTAAATGAAAAGATTATTTACAAATAATCTAAAGTTGTTCAAGGCATTTGTGTACTTTCTAAAAATAAAGAGAGCATATTAATACGAGTGGTAGGTCGATCATAACTGGAAGTTTAAACCTCAGCTCTCTTTAATCATTTTTTAAGATACAGGAAGAGAGGAAAAGAGAGCTAACCATAGTTTAAGGTATACAATAGATGAAAAAGATAGCAGACTCAACCGTCATCAATGTCGTTTCATCATCATCATCACCATCTCCAATCCGTGCTGGCTGATAGTTTTGATCCAAAATAATTTAATAGTAATCCTTAATAACAAGTTAGATTAGTTCTAAATATAATATCAAAATGTGTTTTGTTTTTCAATTTTTTTAAAATATTCTTATTGATAGTAAGAGGTTCTTACCAAAAAGTATTCTAATACACATGATTAAATATAATAGTTTAGAAAAGCTAATATATATTTGTAACAAATAATCAACTTAATTAATTTTTTAATAATATGAAATTTGCATCCCCCTGATTATTTTTGTTTATAAAGAAATATTAAAATTTTATAGAATATAATACACCTCTTTTCTTTTTATCCGTTTCAGCCTCAGGATAATAATATTCGACTGACGTTGATACAATATAATAAAACTCAAAAGATCCCAAATTTTTTCAACCTTTCCGGACAATTTTTTTTTTTTTGGGCATTGACAACCATCAAATTTTTTTTTTTTGGGCATTGACAACCATCAAATAATCTACAATGATCAGGGGGTGTTTGGGGAACCCAAAACCATGGTTTCAGAAGCACTTTTTCGCAAAACGAGATAATCTCCTCCACATATTTACTTCGATAATCCGTAAAAACACTTCTGAAACCATAGTTGGTTTCTATCCAAACACCCCCAGGTCATTCATAGTATTTGATACGGGCTTCGAATCACACAACTCTCACAGTGTCAGTGTTTGTTGCTGGTTTAAAAAAAAAAAAAGGTGTACGTGTTTTTTTTTCCATCCACAAGTTCATTTCAAATCTTATTTTAAGAAATGTTAAATTTCTTGGGGCTTTGAAAGGTAAATCTGGTACATGACCTAATGGACACAATAACCGAGGAAGCCTATAAAGTATCAATCAACCATTTAAAAGTATCAATCAACCATTTTCAAGCACAAGTGGGCATAGACACCAAGGGCGTTCCATTTATTCACGAAATGGACAATGAGAAATTAATGTCTTTAGCAAACAATCACATGGGATTTTTCAGGTCAAACCTAAAGATGTTGTACGTCACATTAATTAATCAGTTTTCTACCCTTTTTTCCCCCCCGGAATTAATCAGTTCTCACCATAACGACTCTTTAAAAATATTGATTTCTAATTTGGGGTATCGATTTTCTTATAGCCGTGCGACTCTTTTTAACTTTTCCTTCCCCAGTTCAAAAAGGCAGTGGCCAATTTCCACAAGAAATATATTTGTAAACTGGTAATATACTGTCATGTTACTCAGCAGAAAGCGATTAATCCCTAAATCAGTCAAAAACCAGCGGAGGCAATTTTCGTCTCCAATTCTCATCCTTTCACTATTAGACTTTCATGGGTTACAGGTCAAACTAAATTTTCAAAGTTTCACATCAATTTTACAAAAGACAAAAAAAATGCCTCTTATTTCTATGAAATATCCCATCTAAGCCTTTTCATTTAAGCATGACTGCCATTTCTAGATTTCAAATTAACTACTGCAGTGGCAGCAACTTAAGAAGTTCTCCAAATGAACTTAGAAAAAAAAAAAGTTTATGTTTTATGACATAAATTTGTTTGGATTAATATATATTTTAAGTCCTGAAAAGAGCAAGGATCATACCAACCCCTTTTTTTCACATATTTGTTTTTGTAGAATGAAAAATTACTGTTTTGTAAATAAGAAACTGGTAATAGACATGTTTTGGACTGTGGCCTTCTGAGGTGTGACGTCCAGTAAACAGTGAAATCCTAAATATGTTTTGCAACATAACAGCTGGACCCGCAGGTTCGCAGTTCGGTGACGCGTCATTTATTTATATTTGCATCCACCGTATGGATTACGCGTGGTGTTCACTGTAGCAACGGTCCACGGTAGCGTCAGTGTCAAACTACGTGTCCACTTCTTACTGGTAGAAGACCGTCGTCACGATATTCATCTTATGATTTCTGATTCTGTATGCATGCAACATTCTGATGCGGCCAATTGTGATAGAATATGCTACATTAGCTAGGGGTGCCAATTCTTCAAATAATTGATATTTTGCATAATTGTGTATATAAATATATGTAATATGTGTGGTGTTTAGCGGTTATAATTAATTGTTTTAGATATGTGAAGTCTCTACTTAGTCTGAATTAAAATAATAATCCCTTCCATGCGACACGGGTTTCATCCCGCCCCAAATATTAGCTTGCAATTAAAAAATATTCTTTGTGGTGTGGGAAATATATAATGTAACGAAAAAAAAAGTTCATTCATTACGCCAAGATATGAGGACGAGACGCGGAAAGAGAAATAGTAGGCAAATATATATATATATATAAGATTCCTAAATATAAAAGCTTAATAACCTATTTACAAATATTAAAAAAAATAATTCAAGTTGTTTTTTTATAAAATATTTTTATTAACTATATGTATTGAAACAATTCTTATAATTGCTATAAAGACTACTTGCAGGCAAAATAAATAAATATAATTGACAAAATAAATTTAAGTTTTATATTTAATATCAATTGAAATTGAATTTTGAATGGTCCAATTTTTCCATTTGTTAGGCAAAAGCTGTGTCGAAATGACTAACCTACCCTCCTCTTATGAATCCATCACGCACTTGATTCAGTGTTCCCGACATTTTTGAACTCGTGTGATTATTTTATATTCGTTTTGAGAGACATGGAAGTCTTTACATGCACTACAGTTTTTTCTCCCCAACCATATTGGCATGAGCTATATTGCCTGACCTTTTTACTGTGGCAACAAAATTACCATTAGTTATTAATTATACTTATGAATGATGAAGTGGTCAGCAAAAAAGAGAAGTATTAATTAAGAACGAGTCACCTATATATAGAACCTCTTAGATATGTGATTAAGATAGCGGATAAGATAATAAGAAAAGAAGAGGTTAATTATTACAGTTTGCATGTATAGCGTAGTCTTCACAGTTATGAGACACGTCTCCTGAGCAATGAACAAAGGGCGGCACCAAACCCCATTGACTTGCATCCAATTTCTGCCATCGCCGTTTCTCATCATCACCTCTCTCGCCTTCTATATATACATGCACCTCTCTCACCTTCCCACTGCTAGGTTTCAACTCTTACTTTTCTCCAATCATAGCGCGCAGCTCTCTCTCTCTCTCTCTCTCTCTGAAGAGAAAATTTCTGCAAGTTCATCAGCATGACGAAGGCAGCTTCTTCAACTGATCAAAAGAATGGATTGAAGAAAGGTCCGTGGACTCCCGAAGAAGATCAGAAGCTTGTCGATTACATTCATAAACATGGGCACGGCAAATGGCGTACTCTTCCCAAGAATGCCGGTAATAAGTCTACTTTCTTCTCTGCCTCCTTCATTTGTTGACGAGATTAGATTTACCCAGATCCTGATTATTTCCAGACCCAGTTTATATAATAGAAGCTATATATGTTCATATTCTGATGATTATATTATTTTTATCATAAATATTTAGGACTTAAGAGATGTGGAAAGAGTTGCCGGCTACGCTGGACAAACTACTTAAGGCCAGATATAAAGCGAGGCAGATTCTCGTTCGAGGAAGAAGAAACCATCATCCAGTTACACAGTGTTTTGGGAAACAAGTGAGTGCTCTTTTTCTATCCTTATCATCCCTCGTTTTATTATTTGTGTAGCCTAGCCATAGACTTGCATGAAAGACCATTACAGGATTTCTGATTCCGCAGATTTGATGCAAATTAAAGTCAATGATCCACATAACATCAATCTATCATCTCTTTTGTCCTTTCGCTTACGGTGCATATATAGAGATACATGATCTAAATGGAATATATATATATATATATATACACACACACACACACACTTTTCTTAGGTGGTCCACGATTGCTGCTAGCTTGCCGGGAAGAACAGATAATGAGATCAAGAATTATTGGAATACCCATATCAAGAAAAGGCTGTTGAAGATGGGGATTGATCCAGTGACTCACACGCCATGCTTGGATATTCAACAACTCTCCTCCATTCTCAACTTTTCTCTCTACGACTCACCTCGTGTTAACCATCCTCCCCACTTTGGAATGGCAAATAATATATTAAATCCAAGCCTCTTAAGCTTGCTCGCAGCTTTCTTGTCATCATCTCAGAACCCAGATGCGTCGAATCAAACTTTCCAGCAAAATTACCAGCTGAATAACTCTATCCAGACCTTCCCTCTTCAAGAAAACCAGTCTTGTGCTGCTTCACAGCCTCTATCTCTGGAATCTCAACTCATGAGAGACAAAATAGATCAAATGATCTCTCCTCCAGATACCACTAATTTTAGCTACCAAAGTAGCCTACCAAATGAGGGGCAGTGCCAAGGAGGTCATAATTACCCTACCAGTCTTTTGGAGAGTCATCAGATTGCACTAAACACCAGAGGCGAGCCGAATTTCACTTTAGGGTCATTGATATCGTACTCGACACCTTCATCTTCTACTAGCCCGAGCAATTTGAATTCGTCAGCATCTTCCACAACATTCGTCAAGGGTGCCACTGAAGAGGAAAGGGACACTTACTGCAGCAACATGCTGATGTATAACATCTCAAATGGCTTAAATATTGATGGCCCTTGTATTTTGTGACTTTTGCGATGAGAGAGTGAACTGGTGTGCAAATTGTGGGACGCTTCACAGATTTGTCAATACCACCGAAAGATTTATTTGTTTGGGTTTCAGACTTGGTTCTGACACATCCATATGAATCAATTTACTTCGTACTTGATTGTTGTGTGTTCTTCCATCATGTTGTAACCTTTTTGTTTTTTAAGCTATCTAGTCAGAATTTAATGATATATATTTAAAATAATTAACTGTTTGCTTTAATTTTGAGGTGTGGGATCAATAGTAGTAGAAGAACTGCGTACGTACCTCGCAAAACTATATATATACAATGCTTCATATTTTATCCTTAACTGGCATTCAATTTGTGAGAATAGGTAGTTAGGCTTATTGAAATTATACAAAATTGGAACAAGATTGACGTAGGACACAATTTCATGCATATAGGGAAGCACAAGAAGAGTCAGAATGACTGGCTCTGTTAAAGGCGATTTCTTTTTTGTTGCTTTGCTTCAAACAGTTAGGCTTACAATGATATATAGCCGCTAATTTTGAGTAGCCATATACTCGCACAGTTGGAAAATTTAACACTCTTCCGGTCTTAAATATAAAACTTTTATACTATAAGGGTCTTATATTTAAGATTAGAAGAGTACTAAAAAGAGAAATGACCTGATGTTCTTTTCAAGTGATATTTCAATCGAGACATAAGGAACCAAGGAAGCGGTGGATTGAATAGAAGATGAAAATGAGGTGTTTTGGGCGGGTTGAAAAGGAGGAAGGGATGGAGTTGAAGCAGTTAACAGAGAACCTAACCAATTTGGGTCAATTAAGAATCCACGCATGGAGGTTCCGTCTACGTCTCTACTTGTTTGTCTTGGGTCAAACGTTTGACTTGCTTCTGCTTTTCCAGCAATAGCCTGCCAGAACTAATTACGTAGGTCCCTCACTCCTACGAGCCTTCCCTCATTTTCTGTTCCTTTTTCTTTCGTTCTTACTTTCTTTTACGAAGATTCGATCGGCTTCACGCTTCATGACTTAGTGCCATATTGATTATATATGTAATACTTGCGGTACTAATTATAAAATTTTAGTTATAATTTATAAATAGGATCTTATAATTAGAACTAGAGGTAGTATTTATCTTTGTATCCTTGAATAAAAAGTTGAGTGTTTGTTTGTATTGAAGTTTGCAAAAATATTGTTTTATCTCAATTATATTTTGTAAATTGAAATTTATATTTTAATATATTCTTACAAAAAAATCAGTTTAAATATCCATTATATTTGGATTTTGGACGTAATTTCAAAAGCTTTAAAATATGGTTTTAGATCTAATTTGATTTATGGAAAAAAGTTCATTTAACTCTAATGACAAGTCAAACATAATTTTTGGGTTCAAATTGGCTTTTAATAGTTTGTGCCTTGGCATGTGTATATATATATGTGGTTTTTTAACCCCCTTAGTTCCAATTCATTGTCAAAATCTTATTTATTTTTAAGGTGCTTTATTTGGTGATTATTTACTGTGCTGTACATTTACTTTTTCTTTCTTTCTTTGTTTTTGTTTAAAAATTCTTTCCCCTCTCCCCACCTCTAATTGTTCAATTTCACACGAAGATGGAAGAGTTAAATAAAAAGAGAATAAATAACTAAAATATGGGCCATGTGATTTGTATGCAGTTTGAGGAAATTAGAGACACGTTCATGAATAGTATAATTAGGATGCAAAGAACCAAAAAATGAATAGTATAATTTGGTACCCAGGCTATGTTTCCCTGGATCTAACTCACTTTTGAATGGGAAAAAAAGAGTTTTACAAAAGAATTTGAGTTAGGAAGTTCGTAGTTATATAGATGGATGATTTGCCTTATTATATATTGTACTTTTCAAGCAACATATATATAATTTCTTATTGAAATAATATGAAATTTAAGTATTACTTCTATGGTCCTTTTTATAAGTTACTTCTAATATATTTCATACAGTCCAAGAAAAATTTTAAATTTCATTAACTCTTATTTAAAATTCAATAACTTTTCAATTTTATCCCTATTTAATATATATTAAACTTCATGTAAACAAAATCAACATAATAATAAATAAAAGGCAAATTTGTGCCTTTATAAAAATTTTTTTTCTGAGTACCTTATAAACAGAACTAAAAAAATGTCTTCTCTCTAATAGGATCAGAGGAGTAACTTTTATTTGGTGAATACCTAACATTATTTTAGAGACATGTCTCATTTCAGATAGGAAATTTTTAGACATCAAACTATTTTGTTTGCATATTATTTTAGAAACAAATGGCAAGGAATTAATTAATTTGAATGATTTCAGTCTGATTCCGACTAACCGGAGGATTTATGCATGTATGTAGCCGGGGAGCCAATTTTCATGCTAAGCCCTACAATGAGCACCAAGTGCTCATCAGCCAATACGCGCCATTCATTTAACTGCCATGGTCATTTTTGCTGGGCTCTTTCAAAAAATTTTGTCTCAAAGTTAACCCAGGCTGAACAATACTCGACCCGCTTGACGAATTTTTTTTTTCCTTTTTTTGTTTTTTTGAGGGAAGGGACGCTGTAGCCTTTAGCCATCGAAGAAAATTACTTCTAACTCTGATATTTAATTTAAGAACTTGTTTCTAAACATGATCTATTTTATTTTTCAAATTTATAATATTTTCTGTAACATTTAAAATTTTGAATATTGGTATATTTTCATCAATAAAATAATAAAATTAAAATTTTGATGGTTAACTGAAAATGGAAAAACCCTCCCTAAACCGCCGATTCACAGTGGCGGCTTCAGCTTCTTCTTCCTCCACCCTCGATACTTTCCAATTTCCGTTATCTTCTTTCCAATTGCTTTGTCTATCTCTCTCTCCTTCTGCTTCCTCATTGCATGATGAATAAGATATTTCTTAAATCTCATTATCTTCCTCTGTTATCAATCTGCCCAAAATTTATCTTCTTTGAGAAGTCTTTCATATCTTCATTCCCTGTCTTTCATCCGTCCCCCGTAGTTACTACCAGCTCCTGCTGCTTGTCTCTATCCCATTTTCCAGACTCTACCATAGACTTCTATGGGCCTTCACTTCACAAAGGAACAAAAACATCTCAATTTCCTGTCACCAAAAGTTCAGGGCTAGACGATGACGAAGACTTTCTTGAAGAAGAAAGCTTCACTAGGGTCTTCGATATCGCTGCGCTTCGCGTGCCTTCTAAAGATTGTTTTGCTCTCGAAAGCAGACTCCGAGGCCACCTTTTGAATTGGCCTCGTATTGGCAACATCGCTCGAGTCCCCGGTGATGATGTCGATCCCGAGGTTATAGAGCTATTGAAAAGCCCAAATAACGGCGATAGTGAAGGTGAAGAAGAAAGTCTTGTCTCCTTACATCGTCGAATTTACGGGAAAGGAGAGGGCGACGGCGACGTTTTGAACCCGGTGCTTTACAGGGATAAGCTGTCTAAAACGTTCAATTCTCGCGGTTTCGTAAAATTTCGGAACCTTGCAAAGATCTCCAGGCCGAAAAAAGGAAGAAGAAAGAGGAGGAGAGTAATGAAGGCAATAGGCACATTCGGAAGAATAGTTTTGCAGCGGTGGAGGTTCTTGAGGACGAAGAGGAAGGAAGTGTGGAGTTGAAGAATTTGCTGGGTGAAGAGTTTGAAAGAAATAAATGGAGGGGGTCGACGAGGTTATTGCTTTTGGATGAGCGCTACGCGGGCAAAGGCTTGGAGGAGTTGCCTGAGGCAATAAAGGTGGCGGTTTCATTCCAACACTGATATTCTGTGAGTTAATTAGAAATTTATATGCCCTCTTCATTGGTTTATTAGATGCTCTATATGTCATTTCAATAATGTGATCCATCACTGCTTAATTTGTCGGCAAATTTCTGCTTCACCTTTGTCTCAATATTGTAACATCTCTTCATTGGTAAAAGTTCATTATTGCGTTTGGCCACGGTTTTCAAAAGCACAAAAAAGGGTTTAAACATGCTCCATATTCGTGTGTGCTTGTGTTTTTATTCGTTGCCATCTAACCTAGATCTGTTTTTGGGCATCAAGTGGTGTATAGATTCTCGTGTAATGTAACACATTTTCTCTTGTCTTCAGGCCGTCTTGGCAGAATATGGAAAAAAGAGTACAACTTTGGCCATTGAGCTTGTTAAATGCCGCTTGACTCTGTTTTATGATTACTGGCAGATGAATGAGGTAGCATATCAAAACCATGCATATATTATTATCATGCTCATTATGCGCGCGCATGTATTTAAGCTTTTCATTGAGAAATATTTCATTCTCACTTTCACCTTGTTACTTTACCCTGACAAGGCACTTTCCAGTTTCTAGTACTGTCAGTTTATTTTGTTGGTACTTGTCCTTTTTGCATTTTCCTACTGATATCTCATTTGTTCTTTAGAAGCTTGTATTGCGTTCGTTGTTCTCTAGTCCCTTGTTATTGTATAGGACATTGCTCTTTGTTCTCCATGCTGTGCGGGCATTTCTTGATGTTCTTCAGTTGACCTCAAAATCTGAGTAATGTTGGATATTATAAGTCCATTTGATTGTTGCAGATATTGGAGGCCTTGCTTCCTGAGGGTATGATTGTTCCCTCAGCTTTTGAGACTGTTGGCCATATCGCACACCTGAATCTGAGGGACGAACATTTACCGTACAAGAAGCTTATAGCAAAGGTTTTATTGTTTTTGTATTAGAACATTTGTCCCCAAGCTCTCATCGCGCTTGTATTTCTACAACACGATATAATCTCAATTCCAATTTCATGACATGCCACACACACACCCCTAAACACAATGGAAATTGCATTCCAATTATTGACAGCGTGATTATTTTATCCACTCATCTCTAACAATTTAGTCACCCCTCTGCAACAAGTGGGGCACAATTCTAGCTGTAATGTAAACTGCATTGGAAATTTTCAACTTGTCTACTTTCATATTCAGGTAGTGTTGGATAAAAACAAGCCCAAGATACAAACAGTTGTGAACAAGATAGACTCGATTCACAATGAGTACAGGACCATGCAAGTTGAGGTTTTAGCTGGAAATCACTCAGTTGTGACGACAGTAGTTGAGAATGGGATTCGCTTTCAGGTTGATTTAGCAACAGTGTATGCTCTATTTCCTTCGCAATTCTGCACAGAAACAATTGTTCAGAATACATTTGTTTTGAATTGCTCAGAATCTGTTACTTGTGCATTATGTCTTCTGAATTTGTTTCTTTTTGTATAAAATTCATCTAGATAAATGACATGACACCATTTTCTTATGAAATTTCACGTAGACGTGTTGTGTGCCTCATGAAGTTGTGAATCATAACATTAATCATTGGTGGTGCAATTTTATCAATCTTATAAACTTCTATTGTGCTTCATAAAGACTATTGGTTTCTTTGGTAAATTTCTCTTGAAGTTGGGTGGAACATCTCTGGCCTCTTGGATCCAATTATGCTTGCAAACGAACCATCTATTGGTCGCATCTTCTCCTCACATACTGATATGTTTTTTTATGCCACCTCATAATATTATAACATGGCACAATCAGTCTGTGGACTGTTAATGAATGATGATCTCCGTTTACAGATATGAATTCTGTGTTTTATGCTTTGTTTTCTTCTATGCAGATATTGGAATTCAAGGCTTGGAACTGAAAGACAAAGGCTGCTGAGCAGTTTTACACGCCATGATGTTGTTTGTATGTATCACCAATAATATGTTGATTAGTTATGATTCATCATCAGGCTATGAATTGGATTGCTTTGAAATAGTAGTGAGATTTCATTGATATCTTGATTTTGATTGAGAGGAGACTGTGCATGTTACTATGGCAGTGTGCATGCGAACAGAATTCTTGCTTAAATACAACAGAAAACTGTAAGAGTGGATAAAGTGCACCAACAGTGATTCTTTACAGAACCAAATGCATCCCAAATGGTGCTGCTGCTGCATTTTACTTTTTGATCAAGTTTTGGTTCTTTATTAGGAACATCTAGTTTTTCAGATCATCCTGCAGAAATGACTTGGAACATCTTCAGATATTGAATACAAGATTGAGCAGGGGAAAAAGAGGGAGAAAATCGAATAAAACGGGCAGTGCAGAAGTGTCCTAAATAGTTCCGTGAAAGAATTCTTTTGGCATGCATTATTGTCTCTAGTCCACAGCTTCTAAATCAATCAAGCATCATCTTCGTTTTATATTTCATGAATAAGATCATGATTTGCTTACTAGGGTTGCATCATATACCCAATGAACAGGTGATGTTTTCGCTGGAGTTGGTCCAATAGCTATATCTGCAGCAAAGATAGTGAAGCGAGTTTTCGCCAATGACTTGAATCCATATGCAGTTGAATATCTTGAAAGAAATAGTGTGCTTAACAAGCTTGAGAGGAAGATTGAGGTACGGTTACTTGTTGGTAAAACCCCTGGATAGTTCACCGCAGTCCTCAAGTCTAAGGCGACTTGTGTTTTATTTTGTTGATTGCATCATGTTACAGAAATTTAATCTTCCGCTACATATGAAAATGTTACAGATGAAAGAGTATGGTCTAGTTATCATTCATTCCCTCATCTACTGAGGATGACTTTGGTGCACATTTTGGATCTTCAGGCATTTTATCTTGGTTAATTTTAGGAGTATTCCAAATTATTTGTTACATCATGTGTATGGGATGATATATATATTTGTTGAACTCTTTAAAGCTGCAATGAATTGGTAAAGTTTAAAACATGCTCGTTTTAATATTTATTTACTGACAAGGAACTAGGCAGAAATTGCAATTGAATAAGTGTGTCGCAGAACTATTTTCTTCTTATTCGGGTTTTCTTTTGACCAAGCTTATGATTTGTTCTTTTAGGTCTTTAACATGGACGGAAGAAGATTCATTAAAGCTTTGTTTGACAGTGATAAAGCTCGGTCCATCACTCAAGTGGTTATGAATTTGCCGAATGATGCTGCAGAATATCTAGGTTGCCTTACCTAACAACATCATCCTTTATTTATGTGTGCCTTTTTCTTGGGTTCTGTATGCCCCTTGTCTATTTCGGTCTAATGTCCTGATCTTTTCAATATAGCATCAAAATACCTGCATATCATACAGAATCGCTGGAGATGAGAATGCACAACATGTTTCCATACAAAGATCTGGTTTAGAGTTATGCAACGCAGTGCTTGAACTTTCCAATTCAAATGTACCACAGAACCAATGAAATCATGGCTTTCAGACCTACTACAGGGGAAACTAAAATCATACAATTCATGCAGCTTCATTTCCAGATTTTCATCATTCAGTCCTAGAGAGTGAAAAAATGTAATATTTTAAGAACACGGGTGCATGCAAAGACAAGGATTCTCGAGAGTATATAGTTTGGTTCCTAGTGTCATATAACCGATCCTTTTTTTGGAAATCTTTTGCTCTATCCCCAGTTTTTGTTGATAAGTTTATTCATTGATTTTTGTGGATGTTTTCCATCCATTGCAGATGCATTCCGGGGAATATACAGAAATAGACCCAAAGATGGAGAGCTCAAGTTCCCAAAGATCCATGTTTATGGATTCTCCAAAGCTCAGGATCCAGAATTTGAGTTTCATGAGGTAGGTTGCTGATTGCATATTTGTTTCTTTATGCTGTGTTGAAGTTGAGACTCTTTACAGATTGACTTAGCCTGTTGCTACCACGCCAATTTGAATATATAACAATATATAAACCTTGTGATCGAAGATAAACATTTCTGCTAAACCCTTGTGATGCAGAGAATAAGAATTGCTCTGCTGGAGGTGGCAGTCAATGTAGACATGCGACGAGTGCGACTAGTTGCACCAGCAAAATGGATGCTGTGCGCATCATTTATCCTCCCCGAGAGTGTAGCATTCGCAACTCCTGCTGAAGTTTCCTAATCCGTATATATATGTATAATTTAATCATACTGCACCATTTTTATACCATCATGTGGTAGATATTAAAATCAATTTTTCTACTCGAGCTATTTTGAAGTGCAAGAGCTGCCATGGGGCTGCTTGTGAGTTTCATTTTGTCTCTGCTATTTATGCGGTTCTTTTCACTCTGATTCTATCCAATATATCATGTATCGTTAATTTATGTGGAAACTTGTCTTGATTCCACGCTCGCGCATTAACGCTCTCCTTCCAAGAAGCAAAACCCACAAAATGAAAAAAAGGGTGGTATTCACATTTGATATAATAATACCTACTAAAAGTTATAGAAGTTTAAAAAGGTAATTACTATAGGGTCTCAAGAAAGAGATTTGATAGTCTAAAAGTCCAGTAACAAAAAAACATGTCATGCAGAAAATAATAACAAGTTTATATTGCTGTTATTGAAATGTTACAGTAATTATTATTATTATTTTTTTAAGACTCAATGGTTCTCTTTTTCAGGGTAGTTCAATGGATTGCTCCTGATATTTCAGGCATCAGCATTGGACATCAGTTTTCGTATGGAAAAAAACATTGGACTTCGGTTTTCATAAGTGACTATAAAATGGGCTGAAGTATGACTTTACAAAAAGACGTGAACGGCAGGATTCGAACCTGCGCGGGCAGAGCCCACATGATTTCTAGTCATGCCCGATAACCACTCCGGCACGTCCACGAGATGTGCTTGGTGTGACAATGCTAAATAGACTTTAGATATACTAAGTTCACACGACCTGCGCTTTGGAAATATTATACAGAACCCCAGGTATCAGGTAAGAGACCATCAAGCATAATCATTTGTGTTATAAATAGTATCAGACATGTTGACCCTTCCTGTTCCATACTTCCTATGCTGACGCTTCTTATTATTCTAAAGCAATTTGTACCAGAAAATTCGGGCTCTTTTTTAGCTGTTTCTTCTTGTTTTTCTTTTCCCTGAATATCCCGCCATTATTGAATTGTTTGTCCCTGCATTAACCTAATCGCTCAATAAATATTATTTCGATTAGTTTTAATAAATATAATATTCCAAAACTGATAATGGAGTTAGACATATTTCAATCAATATATTATTCCAAAACTTTTGCTACTCTACAGCATCTCATTGAACAGTAGATTGTTGAGATGAATTGTGACGACACATCATTTTAAACTACAGCAACATAGTTCTCCATCTAGTAGCGTCCAACTGAAGCAGTAGTTTGCATGCGGTTTAAAAGGGTTCCTTTAACCGTTTGCAACTTTATTTAATTATACAGTATTTGTTTCTGGACAGTGCTTAGTAAAAGATAATATTGGTTTTTAAGAGTCCCCATCATAGCACCCAGTTTGGGCCACTTTGGAGCTCAACTTAAAATCATATCTCCTTTAGTGGGCCACAGGATAGGTCCAAGTCCAGTCCAACCAAGTGGCCCAACTAAAGATTTTATACATATATATACACACACACACATATCTCTCTCTCTCTCTCTCTCTCTCATTATATCGAATAAACCGGCTATATTGACGAACAAATCGCTCCTCCATCCACGCGGAGAGTACTGTATTCGTAGTGAGAAGTGAAGTGAAGAAAAAGCTCTCTAGAAAACTCTTGTCCCAGCACGCTTTCGGAATCTTAAGACGAAAAATGCAGCAGCCTCCTGCCTCACTGGATTCCGATCCTCAGCTCCCACAAATTAAAATCCATCATCCTTCATCGCCTCGCCACCAGGCCGCTGCCACCCCCACTCCCACCGCCGGCGCCCGCCGCAAAATTGGTGTCGCCGTTGACCTCTCCGATGAGAGTGCGTATGCTGTTCGCTGGGCTGTTCAGCAGTACATCCGCCCCGGTGATGCGGTGATCCTCTTACACGTTAGCCCCACTTCTGTCCTCTTCGGTGCCGATTGGGGCTCCATCGATCTTTCCATCAATACTGATCCTAACACAGAGGAAGATGCTGTCAACAAAGTTAACAACAATGAGCCGTCCAAGAAGAAGCTTGAGAATGATTTTGATGCTTTCACGGCGGCCAAGGCAGCCGATCTTGCTAAGCCTCTTAGAGATGCTCAGATTCCCTTTAAGATCCATATTGTGAAGGATCACGACATGAAGGAGCGTTTGTGCTTGGAGGTGGAGAGGCTGGGGCTGAATGCGGTGATCATGGGAAGTCGAGGATTCGGAGCTGCACGTCGAGGCAGCGACGGCAGGCTCGGCAGTGTCAGCGATTATTGTGTCCATCATTGTGTTTGTCCGGTGGTCGTGGTTCGGTATCCAGATGAAAAGGAAGATGGAATTGGCGGCGGCAGTGTTGATAGTGCTGTAGTAGCCGTGAAGGATGAAGAAGAGGGCGAGGCAGTAATCAAGCCTGTGCGACCTGAACACACAAAAGGTTAGGAATTTTATCTTAAGTAATATTGAGGGATGATTGGTGTAATTATTTTTATTTTGTTTGTATATCTGCTCAGGCTTCTTGGGCTAATGTTAATACAGTCGTATATTTCTTTGAAATCATTATTTACAGTAACTGAAGATATAATTGTTCAAAATTAAGCTAGGTGCCTGAGGGGCCCAATCGCCATGCTTAATGGAGGATAGTTATACCAGAATCTGTTAACAAGACTGGGATTAATTATAGTTTTATCCTGGGGCAGTTTACTCAAGGCAGTGTTCTCTATGTTTGACATAGATTAATAGCTGGAATGACCTATCAGTGAGAGTGGAGATCGTATCTTGCTGTCACAGACATAAAAACTGGGCCAGAGCTTTGCATAATCTGTTGAATAGATTCGATAGAATGATAAATGTCTCGAATTTCATTGTAGTGTGAGTTTAAAATCTAAATATTAGGTGGATGATAGCACTTGGTATGACCACAATGTTTTGATAAGTCAAATACTCTTTTTTTAGGTTGTGATGACCTGAGACTCTGTAATTGATATTATAGATGGTGATCATATCGAAATTCAGAGATCAATGAAAAGAAAAACTTAAGTTATTTTGAATGCATTTTTCTAAGTCCATGTTAGTAGTGGCTATCAAGTAATACCCATGCATTTAGAGTAAACCTGAACGTATGTTGGTTGAGGGAGATATGGATTTTGGAGTTGCTGGTGAGATCAGGATCCATGAATTATTGACTTGGATGGTATGAAGTATGTTTGTTTCCAAATCATATGAAAAGGTTTACCATTTGATTGGATTATAGTAGATTGCGAATTTGTTCAAACCATATTGAATTGGTCGTGCTAGGTTTTACACACGGCACGGGAAAGGTTAGGGATGTTCCTTTTACCACTTTAAACCGTAGGCCCACTATTTAATGGTATGTGTAAAACTTTGGTCCAACTTTATGAGCACAGTGAATCATGTTCTAAATGTAGTCCCAGCCTGCAGTGGTCCCACTTGGACTTTGCTCAGCAGTTGACTGTAAACACTTGAAAGCGAGCTTGATTTTTATTTTTGAAGCAACTACATGTATTCGGTCTGGGTGGCCACAGTTGAAAGTTGAAACTACTGAGCTGATTAGGCTTCATCTTTAAGTACATTCTTGATTAAGTAGGGCTGTGGCGAGCCTTTGCTCAGTTTGGGATCATGACTACTTGTAATATCTGAAAATTTAAGGCAAATGCAATGTTTTATCTCCGCTTGCAGAAATTGCTGATTAAGCTTCATCTTTAAGTACATTCTTTTTAGTTGTCTATGCTTATGCTGGTTATGAAAATGACTTCCTCATTGTTGGTTGGCTTGTGGCAGAGGATTAGCTGGAGTCACGTCATGTCTTTACCTTGTTTCTGAAGGTGTGCTTTCTACCTTTGATCCCCTCTCACTTTCCTTGTGCATGTTGATGTGTTTTTTCTCCAACTTGTGCATGCAAAGAATAGAAGTCCTTTTTTTTTTTACTCGTATCATCTAATTGGCCTCCCGCCAGCTACTACAGGTTGACTTTTGGTTTGGGCCAGTAGAAGAGAAGCATTTTCCTTTTGACTCTTCATTACTTGTTGCCTCATGGGTCTCATGCATCGACATCCTTTCTTTTGTTTGCTGGTCTGCAGAATTTATGTGCTCCAACAGTGACTGGCCGAAATAGTATGAGGATATATTTTTTCTGTACGGAGAGTGCTCTGTATTTCTCTCCGCTGTGTTGTACTTGGAGCATTTCTTGCCTGTGAACTTTCGATAGATTATTACGGATGATTTTGTTTGGCTTGATGTGATCTCGGTAATTTTAAGCTGTTGGGAGATTGATTCAGAGCGGGATATCCTCTACGATCTAGATGTACAAATTTTCTTGTGACTATTTTTAAGGTTATTATTTCCTTTCTGTATCTGGGAGATCGGATTGTCACGATGAGCACCCAGATGAAGGTAATCTGATTGCCCTATGTTAATAGAAGTTCTGGAATGTTCAGAAAGTCAGCACGTCTGTCCGCTGTGGTGTTGATTGCGAGAATCTGATGTTTGGCTATCGTTGACGTGTAGAGAACAACAGAGACGGAAAACAGTTTTCAGCTTGCTCCCAAAGTTATTTTGAATGACTCGTGTAACTAACTGCGTTCTCAATCTAAAAGCGCTCTATTTACGGCTCTATAAAAATTACGGTTTTCAACGGTTTTTTCCCCCTCTTTTAATTGCGACTACTTATAATTGGATGCTATTTTAGTAGTTGGAATGAAAAAAAGTTGCGTCACCATTTTTTAATTCGGACTTTACTCGCCAGTGATTTTGTAGGCCTCGGGTGAGGTTGCCATTGCATTTATAGGAGAAATGATGAAATTAAAGATTTCTTTTCTTTTCTTTTTCGAATTATGAAATTATAGATTTCATTCTTAGTTGGATTCGATGTACTGTGGGCTCTTGGGCTTGACTTTGATGTAGAAAAGATCGCAGCTAAGTCCCTCCGTTAAAATCATCTTATCGTTCAAACTGCCAACATGACAGCAAGATTCAATGTTTTGTCTTACACGAGTTTTTCATCGGAGAAATTTCAAGCAGTCTAAGCATCCCCAAAGGAGGTTTAAGGAATATCATATTTAGCAACTGACCGTAGTTATCCTGAATATATGATGGTGGGCTTAAATCTTCGTTTCGGCCGCTGTTTTCACGTCCGTTAACTAAGAATTCTCTGAAAAAGTTTATATTCTTACAATATCTTTTATCAGAAGAGTCAGTTTTGTTCCCTTATAGACATGGATTTGAGCTGCCCCTTGAAGCTGGCCTACACCGGTGTCAGCTAAAGCTTTCATATTCAGAGAAGAATTGATTTGCAGCCAATGTTTGACTTTTGGCCGTGGAAGTGACGTTAAATCAACTTTACTGCACCCTCTTGTATGTATGTTTAGTCTACAGTACAGCCTCAATCTTGATGGTTCTGTTCTCTCCATATGATTGTCGAAGAAGCAACTGAGAAATTTATCCATCACAGAATTCAATGACAAAAGTCAGCAAAACTTCACCCAAACTAATACTGAGTCAACACTACTTGTAAGGATCTAAACCAACGTGTAATCTTCTGCGTACTTGTAAGATAAAGATAACTTGTAAGCTGAGGAACTTCAATGATAGGTGTAATCCTGCTACTGCTAGGCGTCATAATCATATAACTGACTTGGGAAGAGCGATTATAATTCTGAATTTGGAGTCATTACAATCATATTGGCTAATATATATTACTACCTCCGGTCCTTAATATAAGACACCGTTTGACTTTTTGTTTGGTCCTAATTATAAGACCCCAATCCTTTTTTCTCTCATATTTATGCATTTTTTCCCAAGATAGTCCTTCTAATAATGATAGTTCTAACCAATACACTTAATTAGCAAGGATATTTTAGGAATGACAACATTTATTTATTACAAATAACTAACTTAACTTACTTCCTTAATCCCTCAAATAATCAACTGGGTCTTATAATTAGGACCGGAGGTAGTACATCTTATTATTCATATAATATGCTGATTTAGTGGATTCATTATTATATGTAGTTCTCTTCACCAACTATTAAGCTAATCAGCTAGTTTCATTACTGAAGCCTGATACCGAGCTGTCATCACAAGCACCCAAATCTCTATCTATTTCTAACCTATTCTGTTCTTTTTTTTTCAGTTTAATTAATATTTGTGCTTCATTTCTTGTCTTATGGCCCGCATCCTATGATTTATTATACAGAAGCTAATCATATAATTGAGAGTAAACCCAAGAAACATGAAAAATAGAAGAAGCCTTGTTTAGATATAAATATAAATAAGTCAAAACCTAATGAAGAATCACAAGACACAGAATTGGGAGGAAAAAAAGGTCTTTCTCAAGTGCATTAAGGCTGCATTCGTACTTCTAACTTTGATATCAAACAACTCATATATGAAAAAAAAAAAAAGTTTCACAATCCCAAAATATTAAGTGGAAGTTATTTATTGATTAAAGGAAAAGATAAGCTTGAAATTGATAGGCGAAATAGTATTCTCCATTATTGATATTCATTTTCTCTCTTGGACTCATCATTGACATCGATCCTCGTAAAAGCTCCATAAAGGAGCTCAAGTCTCGAATCCTCAATGGCTTCCTAGCTCCTCTCTTTATAATCATCTCAATTATTTATAAATGTTGATTATTAGGGCTCAAGCTTCAAAACTCTTCCTCCTATAATATAGCCAATGTCGTTTGGTATGGCTGTCACCTACCTGCAGCAATTCCTTTGCAACACGTCCTTTTGTTGTCAACGAACTGAAGAAGCCGCGAACTTAACTGATGTTGGCAGTTATGACCGGTGGCAGTTATGGAATCTTAGTAAGTGTCATTTTTGGTGGATTTCTGCATTATCTTTTGCTGCACCATCCATTGAGGTTCTGCTGCATAGAGGGGACAAAGTGGACATGGTTGGATATTCAATCAATAAAGAATGTATAAAAGCGTGAACAAAACAGCGTAAGAGATTCGATTCTCACTCATCATTCACTTCATGCACATTCCTAATCCCCATCATTAAATATACTAATTAATTAAAGTCACTTTAATGATAAGTTAATTTTTTCTTTAACGCATATCTAATCATAAAGGAAGTTTGCTGTTATGCAACTTATGCTCTTAATTTTTGAATTTTTATTAAAGTACTCTAATCATTACTCCTTCCGTCTCTTATTATTATAAGAGACGAATAACCGAATTATGTTGATAAAAAAAACAGTTAAAATTAGTTAAGAATAATAAATATGTAAGAAGTATAATTTTTTTCCAAAAAGGCCCTCATTAATAAGGAGAGAGAGCATGAGAGAGAACAATGGTAAATTATTCAAAGAAAGAGAAGTGGGAAGGAGAGAGAGTGCGGGTTGGAGACAATAAATATGAGTAAAATAGGAAATCAACACAAAAAAATAGAGACAACTTTTAAGTGCCTCTTATATATAGGAACATGTCATAAACATTAAATGTCTCTTATAATAAGGAACGGAGAGAGTATGACACGTTATTATTTTTCTACGTTTAAACTGAATTGTAAATTAAACAGATATGAAGGTTGTTTGAAAAGGAAAAAAAGATATGAAGTTCTCATTTCAAACGATATCCATAATTTTCTATTGTTTTTAGTTGATCTCTTTTTATCACGAAGACATTGATTGATTCAGTGGCCAAAAACTTATAGGCAGAAACAGTGGAGACCACCCGATATGAATGCGATTTTTCTCTGAATATGGGATTTAGATAAGCGAGGAAAAGCGAATGGAAACACATCTCTCCTGCTCATTTCTAACGTAACAGATTAAGATAAAACCATCACCATTCTTTATAGCAAGAGAGATTAATCTCACACACACACACATCATCATCATCATCATCATCATCATATTGATTGGCCTTCACTTCCTTGATTCATATATCTGTCCCTCTCTCTCTCTCTCTCTCTCTCTCTCTATTACACATTTTTTTCGTACCAGAAGAAAAACACCGACATCATGAAACTAACTTCTCTCCCTCTCTCTCTCTATTACACATTTGTCTCGTACCAGATGAAAAACACCAACATCATGAAACTAACAGAGTTACAAATAGCCATTAACAAACATTATCAACAAATTCAACATACATGAGACTAGACCACTCGAGTGCAAAACTGAACAATTGAGGCTTTAATTAATTTATTCACGGTTAAAGTTAAATTCATTGCAAAAAAGTACTTCTACCTCCATTTCTTATTATAAATGACATAGTTTGTAGTTCAAATTAAACTAATTGAACTACAAACTAGATGCTATATTAAGGACTGGAGGTACTGTCAATTAAAATGAAATTACATGGTGGGACACTGATTAATATGCATATCCAGCGTCCATGAGAGCTGGGCTCAACCTGAACATGAGAATGCAAAACTCCATCTGGCTGAGAGCGCCATCTCCATCCAAATCACCTTCCATTAACATGCACACAAGCTCGTCGTCCCTCACCTCCAAACCCAACAACATAGTGTTCATCTTCAAGCTCTCGAACGTGATCAGACCCTTGTTCACGTCCATCAGCAACCGAAACCCGTTCTGAAGCTCACCTATGAACCCATCCGTGCCCATGCTTTGGACCATGGAGGGGAAGTAATCCTCGAACTCGAACCCGAAATCTAAGTCCAAATCCATACTAGTGTTGAAGGAATTGAGCTGTTGGTACGTCATCATGAAAGTGAAAAGTTGATGAATTATTGGTGGCTTGTGAAAGAAGGGTTTAATTTGGGGAGTGAGAGAGGAAGAGTGAGGGAGTTATATAAGGGGAAGGAACATGAACAGCCAACAAGGTACGAACAGGGTAAAAGTATAAGTTATGATAAGGTGTTTCTTTAGGAGAGCTTCTTAGGCCTTTCATATTTTGTATAACTGCAACTTTTTTTTATCATGAGTTTATGTGGAGCCTTCTCCTTCCTCGAAGTTGCTTTTGTTTATTTTGTAAGCGTTCGATGTTCACCAGACACACACACAACACATGATTTGTGTCGTTATTGTTTGTACTCTTTCGCCAAACAGTTCTGCCAGTATATAGATAAATATATATATATATCAGTTGATTTTATATTTATATGCTCAATAATACAGACACACATAAATCTACTGTAATTATACTCGAGCTTGAAAAAGAATATTAAAGCCTTAAAGGGCAGTTTGGCTTTTCTCCCTCTTAATTTTATTAGTTTACTCAGAGCCACTTATCTGTATTGTGTTTCAGTTATTCTCACTGCTGTGTGGAATTGAGTGTTTCTTTATTAATTCTAACTGTAGCGTTAATTGTGACCAAGGTTTAACGGGAAGAAAAGAAGATTCCATTCAAGGCTTATGATTTGATGACACTGACATTCCTCTCGTCAATGAAATTTCATTTACAGCGAAAAGTAAAACACATCGGTGATTCGAACAGGCTGATATGTACCCGTGATGATTTCACATCATGTGCTCAAGATCTCTCTCGCTTTCTAGAGGAAAAGGTGTGTTTACATGAAGATAAAAGTTTCACAAATATAATATTTAAGAGGCCGCAGAAAGAGAAAAATCGATAACAATTATTCGGAGTGATTTAATTCGTACGTTTCGAATATTATAAAAATATATTTTGAGTGAGAGAGAGAGAGAGAGAGAGAGAGATAATGTAATTCTGAAGGAAGTATTGAGCCTTCTAAAGGATAAACGCCTGCGTCCAAAAACAGGATAATGAAGGGTGGCGCCTCTTTATAATGAATTCCCTTTGTCATATTCTTCATTGTTTGGAGCTTGGTAAAGGTAGTACGTACGCTCTGCTGTTCTCTTAACTCCCTCCCTCTCTCTCTCTCTCTCTCTACGTATATATATTGCTTTTTTTTTTTGTAACAAAAAATAAAATGCAAATTATTCAATGGAGTCTATTGTGCCAGCCCCTATATCTCAGCTCCCCCAGGATGTTATAATTTCTTTCAGTGTAAACATTCTCAGCGTGTTACTATAGTACGCACTGATCATTAAGTAAAATTAAAGACGGACATGTGTGTTTTGCGGCAACAAAAGATAGTTACATGATGATTTGGGAAATAAGAAAGGAAGCGCAACATTTTTTAAAGCCCATTTATGAACTTAAACCAGAAAAAGTTAGTTAAATGGGAAAGCATAGTTAAAGTGCATGGCTGATTTGGAGATAAAGGAGCAAGGGATGGAGAGAGCAACGTATGAGGCGCTCCGTGCATTATCCGTGATCTTTTGGCTTCTCTTTATCAGAAGCCTCAACCAGACAAATTGTCACACACAAGCGCAAACGGAACGTGCGTCGTACTTATCCCAGTGCATGTACTAGCATGCAGCTCGGATGTTCATGTCATTATACCAGCCAGCGTATACTTTCAGCTCTAAATTTGCGTGGATTCAAAGATGGCATCAGGAAATTAAAGTTATCCCTGTCTCAGGCTCAAATTCATATTAATTAATCAGAGACTGCTATGACTTCGTGTACTAAGAACTCCTCTGCTTCTATTTATAGCACTCCTAGCATATTTTACATAAAGTAAGAAAAATCTTAAAATACATTAATTCTTCATTAAAATATAATAAATTTTTAATTTTATCCACATTTAATATATGCACCTTTCAAAAAAAGATAACGACCTATACTATAATGAATGGAGGATAAAATAGTACATTCACACTAAAAATTTAATAAAATAACTTATAAATAGGACTAAAAAAAATCTTCTATCTCTTCCTTATAAATAGGACTAGAAGAGTATAATTTATCAAAAGAAAAACAGATGCAAATATGTATTTGATATAATATAATGATAACGCATCATATATATATTTATATATATAGGATCTATTTATCAAGAAGATAATTCATGTGAAGTGTGAGATGCAAACAAAACGGGGTTATGGATGATAAGGAAATACGAAGAAGAGGGAGAGGAAAAAGGCGGAAACTTCAGTGAAATTTCGTGGAATTGAGATTCCACATGAATCCCAGTGAGAAGGGCTATTCCTATATGATCGCCCAAATAATGTCAGGGCACTTTGCCATTCCAAGGATGTGACGCATCCTTTCAAAGAAATGGCGCTCGTGTCTTTCAATGGCTCACTCCTATCTCCATTATTACCCCCACCACTATACATATGCTCTTTTCAGAAGTCACCCAATTGGGATCCCACTGTATCTGCGACTATCACACTCATCTGATGTACCCTTCATCCACTTCTTCGCTTACATTTTAAAATTTTAACACACCACCCATATTTTTCTTTGTCTGTTTCTTCTGCTGCCTTTTACCTTGCAAAATGGAGAGTACCTTTTTGTCCACCTTGTCAAAGTTCTAATGCCGACAAAGGGAAGGCAATAGTTCATTTAATTTTTATAAAATATGATTATTATTACAGATAAATTATTTTGCCTGTATTGAGGACATGATAGTGAGAAAGACGCGCGACCAAGGGAGGACGAGTGGACGACTTTGTTTGGGAGGAAAGGAATATCTCATTCTCGGGCTTTGGGAAATCGATAGGCACGTGTTATACGTGGGCTCACCATATGACATTTGGGGTCGAGGTGGTTCCCCTTTTAGGATAATATAACAGAGTATATCGTACCTATGATCCTAAACCATATAGTCTCTGCCGTAAGTTTTAAGCAACTTCCTGACTCAAACGCTTGTGGTTAAAATATCACACATATGTGGTAGTTGCATAATAATAAAAATATTATACACACAGTTATCTCTAGAAAACACTCCTATATATGTTTAACGTGCGTGTTAGTATATTCAAGTCTACAAAAATCTTTAGAATAACATGCGTACGTATTTAGTTTAGGATTTGATTTAGGTTGAGGATTTCCTAGGTTTTAGGAGTGAGTGGGGGACACCATACAGTGGGAGTCACGGGCAACTGCATTATACAAAACAATTGACTCCACATCAATCTCTGCTAATTCCTTCAATTTATTGAGTACAGGATACAGCATGAACGCAAAAGAGAAGGGATATGCATATGTAGTAGAAACCTCAGTGGCACAAAATATATAGCAGTGCTTTCTAATAAAGCAAAATATCAATTACTGTCACTTTGTTGGGTCTTTTTCGTATTAAAATGATTAAGCTCAAAAAGAAAGCAATATATATCTATTTACCATCATTTCAGGATCTGTGTTCTCATTCATTCAAGCATATACAAATTATTCTTTTGGCGTCCTTACACTTTAAATCAATTTTCAAATAGACACGTCGACAAAAATGTTGGGACTCCGTACTAAATGCCTGAATCAGCTTTTCTGTTTGCCACATCAGTCAATTACTTTTTAAACACCGTAAGTTTAGGTAGTTGAAGGATGAAAAATTGAAAACATTACAAACCAAAGGGATATTTAAAAATCCTTGAAGCATCCTGAAATGTCTAACACATCCATTTAAAAGATTGATATAAATTATAAGAGACAAGTGAACGATTTTTTATTTTTTGGGAAATATGCACAATTGCTTGCTTGCTAATGAAAAAAAAAAATGGTGGAAGCAATGACGATAATTAGACGAAAATAAGAATAATGGGGGGGGTTAAATCCTGAAATGAATGTATCGAAAGGGGCAGAAAAGGAAAAAGAAAAAGAGTAGAGATGATGAGAAAAGGAGTGTGGAAAGGAGGGTGAGTTGGAGCTTTCCATCGATTCTCCTGTAAATGCAGCCATAATGCATAAAATCAGCCTTATATATAAAAAGCTTCCCACATAAAAGTACAAAACCATGGACCCCCAACAATTAATATATAGAGAGTGAAACATTTAATCAGAACAATAAAGAAATTGGATCAAACAAAGCATCCATATATATGTACGTGGTTCACGTCAAAACTATCCCAATCACTTGAATGTTCCCCATAATTGCTTTTAATTTAGCAGATCCATCTGTCCCAACTTTGTCTAAATAATACTATTTTCAATTCTAATTATAAAAAATCGTCTATAAACAAAGTCTTATAATTAAGATTGGAATAGTACAAATTAATGGTATAATGTGCAACTTCAGTGCAATGAAATTTTCTGAAATGGACGTGACAAACCGGTGCCTATATTTATACACATGATGGCTACAGTATCATTCTATTCCTAGGAAAGTTGCCAATCCGCTTCAACACTGGGCTTTGACAAAATCAGGACGCTGTCTTAGCCCTTACAGTATACATTTGATTCCGATTCCTCACGACAAAGCAAACTCAACGGGACAAGCAAGAGATCGACCAACTTTACAAAATCTTAGTTCAAACTTATGGGAAGCGTCTTTTCAAGCCGGAACCTTCACTGAAACTTCCCTCCTGCTTGTTGATTCTTTATCAATCTTGTTTTTTTTGTGCTCCTTTAATAATTTTTCTTCTGTTCATGCCATCAAAAAGCAAAACCTATATATTTTGTGGAGATCCCATTGATGATTTCTTTTTTATATCACTGCTTGACTCTTCAAAAAAGGATTTCCCTTTTTCTGGGGGTCTGTACGTTCCTAACATGCGTGAGTTTCCTTAGAAAAATGACAATGTTTAGGACATTTTTAGCTGGAAAAATATAATTTTGGACACCGCGTTCTTCACATGATGGAACTGTGATGCACCGAAATTTGGGGAACCGCATGTTGTTGTTGCAGATACCACGTGTGTATTCACTATTCAGTTCACGTACGTGTGACGCTCAATGGGTGCTCAGATTAGTGAACATAGCAGCTTTGTGAACAAGAAAAAGTGTAAAGAAGACAGACCAATTAACGACGACATATATCCGATGTTGTGTCTCAATGCTTGGGAATGAGAGATCGAGCAGTTGTGCGTCTCGCAAAGTCTATTGCTTTAATTCTATCAGGAACCGAACGAGGGACGGAAGCTGGCCCAGCTTAAAATTTAAGGGGAAGTTATTGTTAGTTATGGATATCAGTTGCAGAAGTTATTGGACTCTTAGAGCAGACTGATGTTTGCATGAAGTGGCGGCCCATCTGGCTGGGTTATATTGAGGAGAAGTGGTATTTTCTTACCACAATACGAGATTACAGCCTACAGTGAAACCGTGAAAAAAGAAGGAAAGAAGAAAAGAGGGGGAAAAAAAATACTCCGGTCCTAAATAATAGACCATTATACTAGTATGTATAAGGGCCTTATATTTAGGATTAGAGGAGTACATAAAATTTGTAATACGGATATCTCCTCACCTTAATCAATGGGAATGTTTATAGAAAAATTAAAATCGTGGGTTTTGCTGTATAGTTAACATTATTAAGGGAAATAATTAGATTTAAATGAAAACAGAAGTAGTCCGCACAATCACAGTTAGCAGACATCACTTTGTGATGTGGACCCCGCAGAAAAATTTATCTGATAATTCTCTTGCACATCGTTTGGATAATCCAATGGATAACCATTCATTAAGACTAAAAATATCAAAATGTACAAACTTTAGCTTATCACCAGAATAAGACCATAAGGAAAACATTTAATATTCTCTTAATTTTGAAGAGTAACATAGACTGAAAGTAGAACTAGAATTAAAGATTAAATTACAATCTTTATAAAAATAAAAGCATCATAAACACATCTGAGCTTAGAAAATAAGTCAGACGAGTGTCACTATGTTCAAGTCTAAGGATGTCAAAATATACAAATTCCAAACGTATAAACAGAGCCACGGAGCAGCATTCTCATTCCCAGTGGTGATTGAGAGGCCTCTTTTCCACAATTGGGGCTTCTCACCCAGGAAGGAATGAACTCCAAAAAAAAAGTTTGCTATTTTTATTCCTACTTATTTTGTTATTAGTTGTGTTCTCATCCATTTCACCTCACCATGAAAAATACTTGCACATTCTGAGAGTATTACATCATCTGAATTTTGTCCAGTAAAATTGCAACAAGTGAGATTATTTTATATTAAGGACTGGAAGAAGGAATTAGATTTAAATGAACACAGCGGTTCCCAGTCAGCAATCAGCAGTCAGCAGTCAGCAGTCAGCAGTAGCAGACATCACTTTGGTGATGCAGACCCCGCAGAAAAATTGACATGATAATTCTCTTGGATATCCTTTGGATAATCTAATGAATCAAACACCACCGTTCCTTGAGACCACAAATGTCAGAATGTACAAACTTAATCCAATCACAAGAACAAGACCATGAGAAAACGATTTAATGCTGACTTAATATAATTTTTAATCCTTAAAATTTTGAGTCTAATTTGATTTCAGTTTTTCAAATTTCAAATTTGTGATTTTAATCCTTAGAATTTTGCCTGTTTTAAAATATTAGTCCCTGACAATGTAATGGTATTAAAATTTGTTGAAGTATCACTAATGACATTACAACTAGTGATATTGACTCACCAGATGACACCTAAGAAGATCTTATATGGATAACAAAACGTAGCTTAATGAATAGTACCTGAAAACGAATAATGAAGAAAAAAATAAGATGCTAAAGAGTTGCATTTTGAGAACCTGTTCTTCTTTTTCTTTTCTATTATTCATACAAAATCTAACTAGATATTATTTGGTGAGTTTACATATGTTTACGAAACTTTAATAGATTTTAACACTGTTATACTTAGGGGTGTTCATAGCCAGCCCGTCTCAGTCTCGGCCTTATTGGGACGAGATGGGCCCGTCCCGAAATTTTATGGAATGGAACAAACCGGGACAAGACAAAAATGGGACAGGGACGGGACGGGGTCGTCTCGTCCCAGTCCCGTCTTGATATGTATATATATATATTTTTAAGTATTTTATATTATATTTATTATGAGTTATTATTAAATGTTAAAAAGTAAAAATAAATAAAATATGAAGCCCTGACTCTTTGGCTCTGCCTCTCTCGACTCTCAGTCTCTAGTCTCCTGTTTTCACCTCAATTTGTTCCATTCAGATTTCAGACAGTGATGGTTGACGAAAGCAGTGAACCTGAATCGTGTCTCGCACTCTCGCCACTGAAGGCTGAAGCTCTAGCTAGTCGCCTCTCTATCTCCGCTCTCGGCTATTCTCTCATCTTCATTCTTCCATTCCAGTAATTGTGGATATTTGACAAAAGCCTCTTGTAGCAAAAAACCTCGTCTTGCCTCAATCTTGAGTAGATCGTGAAAATCAACCAGCTCCTCTGCTGAAGGGTGTTGATCATGGGACGGGACAGGGGACAAATTCCTTGTCCCGTTACTATTCATCCTGTTTCGTGAACATCCCTAATTACACTTCTGAGAACTAACATTCTGAGATGAAGTAAATTCTAAAAATCAAAACTATGAATTTGAAATTTGAGGGATTAAAACTAAAATAGGGTCAAATATTAACTCTTTAATACTTCTTAATTTTGTAGAACAGCATCGACTGAACGTAAGGCTAGAATTATATATTAACTTAAAATATTTGTAAAAAAAAAAAAGCATCATAAATACGTTTAAGTCTAGGAAATTTGTCTGGCGAGTGTCTGTATGTTCAAATCTAAGAATATCTGCATATAAAAGTTACAAAACAAATAGACAGAGCAACATTCCCATTCCCAGTGGTAGTGAGAGGACTTTTTAGTTTACCACGTAGCAGGAAGGAATGGTTTCCGAAAAAGAGAGTAATCCTCTAATCTTTGATGTAAGATCTAATCGATTAATTTAATTTGAATATATTGAAAATATTAATTAAACTAGTTAATATGATATTTTTTTTCCTCTAAAACATTTATCTTCCTCAATTTCTTCTATCCCTCTTCTATTTGATTATTACCGAGAAAATATTAATAAAATTAATTTAAAAAAATTAATAAATATGTGAAATATGTCTTACATACAGGACCAACATTAACTCCTTAATTACATCCTACATTGTATTATTACTATTTTTATTCCTTGTTATTTGTGTTCTCATCCATTCGACCACACACACACATATACACACACAGAAACATAATCGCCTCCTTGCACATAGCCACATATATAACCAGGAAAAGTCAAAATTTTTAAACTTTTAAATGGAGGAAATTGATGCGAAAATTCTCTTCAATAATTGATTGGTGTGAATATTCAAGATTCGCCGAGCAATACGCTACTAACCAAAACCCTCAGAGTCCAAAAGCATGGGCCCCAGAAAGAGCTCGAAAGAAATCATCCATAGTTGGAGGCGACTAATTCAACGGCCCTATGTGTAAAAGATTAAGACACTGAAATTGAAGCCCTTGAAGCCATGTGGTGCTAATTCAAGGCAACCAAAAAAAAAAAGAAAAAAAAAGAGGAGTTATTTGGCTGTCTAGCTGAAGACCTGATCGCGAAGTCAACTAGTACGTACAATAAGCTAATTAGAAGCGTCTGTGGTCCAGTTTGGCTGCAAATTAAACTTACTCCTCTTGCCAAGGCTTCATCATTCATATTGTAGTGTTTTCAAGAGCTTGATATCAATTTATATCATTCATCACCTGCATGTTCTCCATATGCTCATATTTTCACCTTCTGTACGATTATTAATTGGATTTATTTTACTGTAACAGATTATATTATATATATATATATTCAAAACTGTATTATTTACGGTTTTTTCAATAATAAAAACAATATATCATTTAAATTAACATATAAAAATATAACAGAAGATTCTAAAAAATCTCAATTTTTATAATGTACTACCTCTGGTCCTTAATATAAGACCCCGTTTGACTTTTTGTTTGATCCTAATTATAAGACCCCAATCCATTTTGTCTATTATATTTATGCATTTTTTTCCAAGATAGTCCTTATAATAATGATAGTTCTAGTCAATACATTTAATTAGCAAGGATATTTTAGGAATGACAACACTTATTTATTACAAATAACTAACTTAACTTGCTTCTTTAATCTCCTCAAATTAGTCAACTGGGTCTTATAATTAGGACCGGAGGTAGTATATTGGAATAAAAAAATATATCACTAGAAACATGGCTTTTTTAAAAGGAAAAAACCACATTTCCAGACCCCCCACAAAAGTCAATGTCGACTAATGGATCATGCCTTGCGCTCAAGCTGTGTTAACTCAGATGCATTCATTTGATCATGTACTGAGCTCAAGCGCCTGCTTCCAGACATTGCACCGACTAAAATCTGCATAGATTGGTCTCACACGCACCAACATGATTCTCAACTTGACTCTTAATTCCCTTCTCCTGATTTTGTTGTGTCTGCCCTTGCAGTCCACAGACGCAATTACATATAAAGAAACGTTGCGAATGGGCCAAGTACTTGGAGCCTCAGATACCTTGGTATCTGCTAATGGCAATTTCGAACTGCGATTTTTCCGTAAAGAGAATCCAACCAGGTACTATGCAGGGATACGGCTCAAGAAAGTTCCTGGAGAGAATATTGTTTGGGTTGCGAGCAGAAAGCACCCAGCCACCGATTCCAAAGCGGTTCTTACTGTTGATAATAGGGACGGAAATCTTGTAATTAAGGATGACGGAGTGGAATACCAGGTCACCGACATTTCCGATATCAGCAGTACATATGTTATGCTCTTGGATTCGGGTAATCTCTTGCTAGTGAACAACTCCAACTTGAATGTTTTATGGCAAAGTTTCGACCACCCCACAGATACCCTTGTTCCTGGAATGAAAGTAGGATTTGACGTTGAATCAGGAAACAATTGGTCCTTGATATCATGGGCAAGTGTAGATGACCCAAGTCCTGGAATTTTCTCTCTTCAAGTTGGCGGGTCCAACGACGGGCGTAGGCTAATCATCAAGAGAAATTCTGACACATATTGGGTTGGCGATGTGCTAACAGATTTCTTGTTTCAACGTTCTGATAACATAAACAATGCTACAGGGGATGTGGGCTATTTCGTTTGGCAAGGGAACTATACTTCTCGATTGGTTCTGGAAGTTTCTGGGGAGCTTAACCAGCAAATATGGTCGTCTCATAACAAGCAGTGGGTTTCTTTGCTGTCATCCAAGTGCAGAATAGATGCATGCGGAAATTTTGGCATTTGTAATCCACAAGCCCTTGATCCTTGCGAGTGTTTTCCAGGTTTTAGGCCGCACGATGAAGATTCTTGGAAGAAGGGGAACACAAAAGCAGGTTGTGTGAGGAAAACAGAGTTGCTCTGCAGAGACGGGAGCAGTAATGGACCGCCTGACGGGTTTTTTCCATTTAGCGGAGTGTATTTTCCTTCCGCTAGTCTGCTTCCCCTCAAAATTCAGAACGCATACAAATGTCAAAGATATTGCTCAACCAAATGTAATTGCGTGGCCTATGTTTACGATGTCTCGGGTCGCTGCTTAATATGGCTTAATCAATTGCTGAACTTCAAAAACATCTCGGTAGACGTTGGAGGAAATAATTCTAGACCAAGTTTCTATCTCAAAGTTGCTGGTTCTGAGTTGATTAGCAATGGTATGACGACGGAAGCTCCTGTGACTTAGCATGATTGGTTCGTCCTTCTTCCTTTTTTTTACCGGACATTATGATGATAATTTGATTGTCGTTTTGCGCAGTGTCGAATGCAGGGAATAATCGAGATCATAAGCCTAATCAAAGCCGGAAGAAGTTACTAACAGTTGTAATAGTTATCTTATTTGTTGCACTGCTTATAGCAGCTCTATTTGCTTACTACTGCCGGAGGAGAAAGCTTAGGGGAGAAGGTAAGAAAAAAGGATGAAATAAGGAATATGAACAATAATAATAATATGAAGTTGCAGATATCTATTAACTTTCCTCTCACTTTCTAGGGGAGGATCTGCTACTGTTTGATCCAGGTATGAGCATGAAAGTTGAGATGTCAGAGCTTACTGATGTCGATAAGGCTGGAAGAGTTAACAGGAGTGATGTCAAGTTGCCATTGTTTAGTTTTGCAAGCGTTTCTGCAGCAACTAATAACTTTTCACCTGAAAATAAGCTTGGTGAGGGCGGCTTTGGACCCGTTTACAAGGTAAGTTCCAAGTTCAAATGTTTTGGAGTGATGCTTGAGAATAGATGAACGTACAAGGATTAATTTGCAGGGTAAGCTGTTGAATGGGGATGAGGTTGCTGTCAAAAGGCTATCTGCGAGATCAGGTCAAGGATGGGAGGAGTTGAAAAATGAGGCAATGCTCATTGCAAAACTCCAACACAACAATCTTGTCAGGCTTTTGGGTTGCTGCGTTGAACGTGATGAAAAGATGCTTATTTATGAATTCATGCCTAACAGAAGTTTGGATTTTTTCCTATTCGGTTTGTATTTTGCTGTCTCAAAACTCGTAGCTTGAATGTGAAATCTTCTCGTTTATTTTAAGCTGGCCTAATTTCTAGTGATGCGAAACAGATGCAACAAAACGCACAATTTTAGCTTGGGAAACCCGAGTTCGGATAATCCAAGGGATTGCCCAAGGTCTTCTTTATCTTCATCAATATTCTAGGTTCCGAATCATTCATAGAGATCTAAAAGTTAGCAATATTTTGCTGGACATCGACATGAATCCCAAAATATCAGATTTTGGTTTGGCAAGACTATTTGGTGGAAATGAATTGCAAGCAAATACAAACCGGATTGTTGGCACTTAGTAAGTATAATTAAGAAGTCCTATTAGTATATAACGAGAAACTTTTAAGTAGATCAAATCAATTGCAAATAAATATATAAGCATTTTAGAGGTACATTTCACAGAAAGTATCTTATTTGTTTTATTGTTGCCTGCAGTGGATATATGTCTCCTGAATATGCATTAGAAGGCATTTTCTCAATCAAATCAGATGTATTTAGCTTTGGAGTCCTTTTGTTGGAAATAATAAGCGGCAAAAAGAATACTGGTTTATATAATACAAACTCCCTCAATCTTCTTGGATATGTAAGTATCTAACTCATTCATTCTGTTATTTCTGCAAGTTTCGATTCATTATACTACCTTTAGTTTTTAATATAAAAGTTAGTCTGACTTTTAATTTGGTCTTAAATATAAGACCCCAATCTACTTTGTCTCTCATCTTTATTCATTTTGTCTCAATATAATCTTTGTAGTAGTTGTACATGTTAAAAATTTCATAAAATACTAAAGCTAATACACTTGATTGTAAGAGTATTTTAGAAAAGACAGTACTTATTTATTACAAATAACTAATTTAACAAACTTTTCTAATCTACTTAAATTAGTCAACTGGCTCTTATATTAAGGATTGAAGGTAGTATAAAAACTTGTGATTTCTAGAAGCTAGCAGAGGTCAGTTACTCGTGTTCTTTATTTCTCTGTGGCTTTGAAGGCATGGGACCTATGGACAAGTGGGAGAGGAACAGAGCTGATGGATTCAGCGTTAAAGGATGAATCGATACAGAAAATTGTGGTGCGAAGATACGTGAACATAGCACTGCTTTGTGTTCAAGAAAGTGCAGAAGACAGACCGACCATGTCTGATGTTGTTTCAATGCTTGGGAATGAGAATATAGTCCTACCTTTTCCTAAGCCCATAGCTTTCCTAAATGTAAGGGGTATCAGGACTTCAAGATCAGACGGAAGCTCGGCAGAAAATGTTTCTACTAATAACATGACTGCTTCGGTTATGGAAGCAAGATGAGTTTGTATTTCCCTATATGTATATTACTTCTTAGCAAACATTGCAGGTTTGCAATATAGGAGGTTTCTACTTCATTTTCTGTTATATCTCAATAAACTTGTATAAAAAATCAGGAATGAAGTAAAGGATTAGTAAGGAAATCATAAGGATATTGTTTTTGATAACCCTTGCTTGATTAAGCGACGAAGTCAAATACAAGTGTAAGAAGGTTGTTGTATTATTTACAAAGTTGCAAAATTCCGCAGGTTAATACCGCGCCCCTTTTGTTCTACTCACAGACATGGAGGGAGAAAGCGAAAATACAAATCAAGATTGAAATGTATTATTTTTAATATTGTTCCATTAATTTGAATACTGATGCCAAAGCCGCCTCTTTGGATTTATTGGTGCTTGGTTGTTTTTATGGCTTCTGCTATGGTTGACAAGTCAAATGTCTAGGTTCATGTCACCCTATTATTTTATTGATTGTAATAAGCACTCCCTTTTGCCCCCCCCCCCCCTTTTGTCTTGGTGTACAAGGCCACTTACAAAGCTGTGTAGAAGACAAAAAACTAGGTCAGAGCTCAATAAATTCCTGTGCACTAACACCGGTGGTGAATCATGTAAAATTGTTGTATCGAACGTCTCACGATAAGTATGTCGAACAGTCTGAACATGTACTCAATAATGACAGCCCAATCTTGCATTAGAAGATCTCTTGTATTTTTATTGAGCTGTAAAGAGGACGATTCAGGAAAATTTTGTTATGAATAAATGTGGGGGTTTCCATCGAATTAGTGGAGGCAATTTTTCAATATACTCTTTCCATTTTATAATATAATTAACTTATTTTTATAGTATAAATTACACTATAAATGAGTTTTATATTTATGATCGAAAGAGTAGGTTTTTCATCCTCTCTTGTGCTAATGTCAACTGACAATTTCGAAGACTAAGGACTGATTAGTGATCACTATCAGACCGAAAGTGAAAAAAGAAGACTAGTCATGTTCTTATTATTTCTCTGATTCTAATATAAAACCTAATTATTAAATTAATTTTGGTTTTAAATATAAAACCTATTTATTATATTTATCAATTTTTTCTAAATTATTCTTATGAAAACTCCCTCAACTATAATCAAGTAAGTGAGGGAGGGAGAATATTAAGAAAGATGATTATGGTTTTGTAAGAAAAACATGTCATATTTCTTATAATTAACCAACTTACCTAACTTTCTTAATCTAATCAAATTAATTAAATAAGTCTTACATTAATGATCGGAGGAGTATTTTTTTTTAAAAAAAAATGTGTCAGCTAGAGTTTATTGGCTCGCCGCCCTCTTCTTGACTGTTCTGCCCCGGCCGTGAAAGATTTTAGGTGGTTGAGGCAGCCGTTTACGACCTCTAATAAATTAGGATTCAATTTTTCCCCATAATATTATTTATGTCATTTTCCTTCGAAAGAAATTAATGTAATTCCTTTTCATCCCTTTCAAATAGTAGTCACCTTCAACCATAATCTTTTGGCTGGAAGCACAGTGAAATTTTACAACTTTCTGGAAGGTCAAATCTGAAATTAGAATCATACTTAGTAACTAATTTGGTCCTCAAGGTTTTCAGGCATGGAGACCCTGGACTGAAGAGAAGCCATTGGATCTTGTAACCTACAGATACGATTCATCCATGTGGGATTGTTATCTTTGTGTCTAATCATATTATATGCTTTGGACGGAAGAAAAGAAAAGCAAAATTTATTCCATGCGTTCATTCTTGACGTGGATATAAGCATGAAAGTAAAAGAAAAAAAAATAAAGATATGCATAATATATTATAAATTTCTGTGTGTTTGTTGGGATATGGATTGCAGCTAGTTGCAGTATAAATAATCATTGGATTGACTCTGACCCAGGGTGAATGTGCTGTTGATTCGTCTTTTTTGGGTGTCCGCATTCGGTACTAATCAGTTGATGGGCACCGGTGCTCATTATTTTATGAGCAATTAGTATCGTTTAGATTTAATCTGGACCGTTCAGATTAATATTTTAAATAATTATTTAAAATAAAAAATTTATATTTTAAAGAATGATAATTAAGAGATTATCTTTATTTTTTATCTTATACCTATTAAAATAATTATTTTAAAAAATAAAAATAAAAATAAAATAAAATTTGGACTGTTTAGATCAGATCTGGACGGTCCAGATCTAATGAGTATTGGGTGCTCATCACATCCAATGCAAATCCCTCTTTTTTGTCATTAAAGTACAGTGCGATGCAGGGTGCAGACAGGGCCGAATATCCTCTCTTCATTACGTTCTGTGCATCATTATCATCAAATCAATTCCACATTTGTCTATTACAGATTTACAGCAATGGCCTCAAGTTAATCTTCGCCAATTTCTATCGATCTTCCTAGTGGCTAAGTTCAACGAGGTAAACCAGAATGTGAATTTTCATTATCTCATTTTAGATTAAAGAATTGCTTTCTTAAAATCCACTTGAAAAGCGCTGTAAAGATCAGCGCTTTGCTGGACTGCAAGAAATTCATGAAGCCATTGAGAAATGAAGGCATAACAAAGCATATTTCCGGTTGAAGATGTCCCAAGCAGCAACAAATCATAAAAACACTGTTCACTGAGACCCACATCCTTGAACCCATTACCCCTTCATCCATCGCAGCCAGGTCCGTGTCTTGCTTCCTTGACCTTTACGGGTGGCAAAAGCTATAGACTGGTGCATTGAGTGGCGATGGAGAACTTTATTGTAGTGCTTATTTGCATTAGTTTGCTCTTAGTAAGAACCTCCACTTCGGAGCCAGCCTTTAAGAGATGGGGAGACCTTAGTAACTAAGTGTAGGAGTATGAGATGGGCTTTTTTAGTCCTGGAAAATCGAAGAACCGATACTTGGGTATATAATACAAGCGAATGGACGAGTTAGCTAGCGAAATAACCAAGGCTTAATAAGGTTTTGCCATTGGCTGCTCCGTGCTCTCCCCCTCTCTCAAAAGACCCTAGAGTTTATTGGCCATCTTCTTTTCAGGGGTATTTGGATAGAAACAAAACTATGATTTTAAAAATATTTTTACAGTATACAAAATAAAAATATAAAAAAATTTATCTCGATTTATAATTTTTTTTAAAAAAGCACTTTGAGGCTTTGAGCATAACCCAAACATCCCCTCGTGTTGAAAATACTTCCGCGAGGTATACTCGTGAGAGTCTGACTTGTATTCAACATATTTTGACATGGGCCCACACATAAAAGCAGATTCTATTTCACGGGTGACGCTCAACCACGGGCAACATTAATATAATCAATTTTAATAAAATATAAAGGAGTACACCGCGTTGATTCATCTCTTTTGTTTTTTTTGACCGATGACCGCATTGATTCATCTAAACCAGTGAAACTCCATATGATCACATGAAATTCATGACTTCATTGTAAGTGAGACAGAGAACCAAGAGAATTTTTACACTTCAAAGTCGCCGTTACTAATTACTACGCCCTAACGAACTGCTTTTCTTCTGAATAAAACATGAGGTCAAATTAAAGTGAAATGTTAAATATCCAACAATATGGTGAATTAATGTTGGTTCTATATATTATATATAAAACGTATTTTATATATTTGTTAATTTTTTTTAAACTGAGCTTGTTGATGTTTCCTAATAATCAAGCAGAAAATGGAGAAAAATTAAAAAATGCTTAGAATGTTTTAAAAAAAATCATATTACTTAATATAATTAATATTGTTAATATATTTGAATTAGTTAATTAGGTTTTAGGACGTTGGAGTAATATGTTGGTTTTGTTTGTTTTCCAGGCTCCCGCGTCCTGTCCAATGCACACACGGAGATTTCGAAGAGGTCAAAGTCTGCAACCCTGAAGCAGTGGAGGGCTGGCTGATAGTGTCATTTAATCATGCCTTGCCCTCAAACGCTTGCTCTCGTCCATTCGGATAGCTGAACATCGGGATATCTGGTTCACGGACACCAACATGAAACTAAGCTGGACTCTCAATTCGTTCCTGAGTTTGATCTGGCTTTTCTTGCGTTCCACGAATGCAATCACGTACAAAGAAACGTTGGGGATGGGCCAATCACTTGGAACCTCGGATACCTTGGTGTCTGCTAGCGGGAACTTCGAGCTGGGTTTTTTCACTCGAGGGAATTCGACCAAGTACTATGTAGGGATGTGGTTTAAGAAAGTTCCTAAAGACAGCATTGTTTGGGTTGCAAATAGAAAGCTCGCAGCCAGCGATTCCAATGCCGTTCTCACTGTTACTGACGATGGAAATCTTGTAGTCAAGAATGACAGGATGGTGTACTTTGTCACCAACATTTCCGACATCAGCAGTACCCATGTTATGCTCTTGGATTCTGGTAATCTCCTGCTGATGAACAACTCCAACTTGAACATTTTGTGGCAAAGTTTCCAGAATCCCACAAATACCCTTTTGCCTGGAATGACGGTACGATCTGACGAAGGAGCCAGTTGGTCGTTGACATCATGGACAAGTGTAGAAGACCCGAGTCCTGGAAATTTTTCTCTTGAAGTCGACAATTCCATGGGGAGCGCTAGGTTAATCATCAGGAGGGAATCCGAGATATACTGGATTGGTGATGAGCAATCTAATTTCACGTTTCAAAGTATTGGTAATCGAGCCTCCGCTACATGGGACACAGGCTATTTGACTTGGCAAGGGGACTACACTTCTCGATTGGTTCTGGAAGTTTCTGGGGAGCTTAACCAGCAATTTTGGTCACAAGATCGATGCGGTGTTTCCTTGCTGTCATCCAAGTGCGGGAGAAACGCAACCTGTGGAAATTTTGGCATTTGTAACCCACAAGCCACTGATCCCTGTGAGTGCCTCCAAGGATTTGAGCCGTACGATGAAGATTCTTGGAAGAAGGGGGACACACCCGCAGGTTGTCGCAGAAAAACAGAGTTATGCAGTAACACGAGCAGTGATGGACTCGATGACGGTTTTTTACTAGTCGATGGAGTGGATTTTTCTTTGGATAGTCCGCTTGCTTTCAAAACTCAGAACGCATTCACATGTCAAAGAGATTGCTCAATCAATTGTTCTTGCGTCGCTTATGCTTACGATGTTACGGGTAGTTGCTTGTTCTGGCTTGATCGAGTGTT